TTTGGTTGACAACAGAGATTGTGTGTGTGTGTGTTTAATAATAGTTCTAGAACTCTTCCCATCTTTACTTCATTAGGCTACAGGATTAGGGAAATCTCAAGCATTTGCTTCAAAACCCACAAAGAAGGTAACACCTACCAACATATACATTTTATAAATTTTGTTTTAAATCCTCACCCAAGGATATTTTTACATTTATTTTCAGAGAGAGGGAGGAACATTAATGTGAAAGAAACACATCGACTGGTTGTCACTTGCAAAACCCCAACCAGGGCCAGGGACTAAAACATAACCAAGGTACATGCCCTTGACCAGAATCAAACCTGTGACTCTTTGGTCATCAGGCTGACACTCTAACTGCTGAGCCAAACCAGCCAGGGCCAACATATGCATTTTAATCCTCACAGTCCAAAAGTTCTAGCCCCACAGCAAATAGTATAGGTTTTGTAATTTACAATACTATTTCATTAGAAATGACAAACACTGTAAATAAATAAAAACAAAAATTTTTACAGTTATCCCTCAAACCAAAATTATATATAGACTTTGATCTTCAACTTCTGAACATGAACACCAAAGTCTAACAAAACCACAAAATTCTAAGCAAAAAAAAAAAATGCAAGGAAAAAAACTAACTTTTCAACCTGATGGTAAAAGAGAAATTTTTTTAAAGAAAAAAGAGAGGTAAAATAAATAATCAGAACTTATATGACCAGAAAGTAAAACAAAACACATTAAAAATAATAAGAAACCAGAGTATTTAACTACAGAGCCACTGATCAATTCAATGAGGTAAAAGTATACTGGGAATACATTAGTTGAGCATCCAGCATCAACAGCTTCTTATCCACTGAATTTAGCTTACAATATAATTTAAAATTAAAGCAAAATACTATATTTTAAGATGTCATTTTCCCAAAAAGTTAATAGGTTAAAAATCAGTAAGTTCTTGTAGTTCAATTTTATATATATTAGAATTTCATTATGTTCATTGAAACATTTTCAAAGCAATTATAAATAGTTATGGAAATAAAGTTTTATCTGCCATTACAATTTTCCTAGTCTCAGGCATTAAATTTAGAGGCTTTCTTTCTTTCTTACTTCTTTCCTTCTTTCCTTTCCTTCCTTCCTTTCTTTCTTTATTTTTTATCCTCACCCGAGGACATTTTTCGATATTTTGTTCAGATAGAGTGGGAGGGAGGGAGGGAGAGAGAGAGAGAGAGAAACATTGACATGAAAGGGACACATCGAGTGGTTGCCATCCACACGACCCAACCAGGGCCGGGGACAAACTGCAACCGAGGTACGCACCCTTAGCGGGAACCTAACCCAGGTCTCTCTGGACCACAGGCTGACGCTCTAACCGCTGAGCCAAACCCACCAGGGCTAGAGGCATAATTTAAATGAAACAAACACTGTCTGTATTATATGTTTAAATACAAATTCTCAACGGTGGATTTGAGTTCAAGATGCTAGAGAGACATGTGTCCCTCTTTCTCCTAATAAATTTAAAAAGTGATATTCTGGTTCAAAATATGTCCATTCTTAATCTCCAGGACAAAAGTGTAAGTCTAAAATTGAGCCTTTTGTTAACTACAAAGACTTTGTACTGAATACAAAACAAAATACTTGCTATATGGTATCATTCTGGGCAATATAACCATGTTCATGAACTAAAGTAAAATGTATGTAATGCAGATGCAGGAAAAAAGAATGTGAGGCAGCCAATCAACATTCCACTCTTACATCAATGTTTCTCTTTCTCTCTCCTTCTCCCTTCTCTTAAAAAAAAATAAAATAAAAAAAATAAAAAATATATTTTTTTAAAAAGGTATTTACTTTTTAAAGTGATGTCTACCAACCTTTGCCCAAATATGGCCCAACTTTTCACTTTATTATTTTTCTTAATTTTTTTTTTCTTTATTGATTTTAGAGAGATTGGAAGGGAAAGGAAGAGAAAGACAGAAACATCGATGAGAGAGAACATCGATTGGCCGCCTCCTGAATGCCCCCCCAACTGGGGTTTTGGCCCACAACCTGAGCATGTGCCATGACAGGGAATCGAACTGGTGACTTCTTGGTGCATGGGTGTGCTTAAACCACTAAGACACACCAACCAGGCCCAACTTTTTATTTTAATATTCAAGCATAGCCACATAAAATCCATCACTAACCACATCAATATGAAATCTGCCCATTTTTCTTATTTTCCTCACTCGTATAGATTTTCAGACCATAAATTCCTAATTTTTCCTTTGTATAGTATCATCTATCATATTATATGAAAATGATAGTACTATCTGACAAGACTTGAAAAGATAAAGTTTGCAATAATATGTCTATTTCTTAAAGAAATTCTATTGTATACATACACTTCTAAAGATGTTCTAAAGATAATTTTTTAAAGGGATTTTAAATTCCCAGATTACTTTTTAAACCCTTTCTACTCCAGAAAAGATATACAGTATGAACACTAATCAAAAGAAAGCTGCTGTAGCTTAGAAATACTACTAAAAATAAAGGATATTTCACAACGATAAAGTTAATTCAGTAATAAAATATAAAAATTATTTGCATCTTGCGCGTGTGGCTCAGTGGATAGAGTGTTGGCCCGAGCCCTGGCTGGTTTGGCTCAGCGGTTAGAGCGTCGGCCTGCAGTCCAGAGAGACCCGGGTTTGGTTCCCGCTGAGGGCATGTACCTCGGTTACAGTTTGTCCCCGGCCCTGGTTGGGTCGTGAGGGAGGTAGCCACTCAATGTGTTCCTTTGACGTTGATGTTTCTCTCTCTCTCTCTCTCTGTCCCTCCCACTCTATCTGAACAAAAACTGGAAAAATGTCCTCGGTAAGGATAAAAAATAAATAAAAGTGTTGGCCTGAGCACCAAAGAGTCGAGGGTTCAATTTCTGGTCAAGAGCATATACATGGGTTGCATGTCCGATCCCTGGCCCAGATGTAGGCACGTGCGGGAGGCAAACAATCTATGTATCTCTGTCACATCGATGTCTGTCTCTCTCTCACATTCTTCCTCGTTCCCTCCCTCCCTGCTACTCTCTCTAAAAATCAATGGAAAAATATCCTTGGGTGAGGATTTAAAAAAAAAAAAAATGTTCATCTAGTAACACAGCCTCAAATCACATAATACAAAAATTGAAAAAGTTAAAAGAGAAAAAGAGAACTTCTAGTTACCTTCAAATTGATCAAGTTATATATTAAATATGTACAGCTTTTTGTATGTCAATTATACCTCAATAAAGTGGTTTTTAAAAAGCGCGGGGGGGGGGGGCGGTTAAAATCCACAAAAATGCAAAGAAAGCAAAAGGAAGGAAATAATAAAGATAAAAAATAAACTAGAAAAAGTTTTTTTAAAGAATTATTACCAAAGAAATGAAATCTACAATGAATGACTTTCCCACAATGAAAACTCCCAGACCATGTGGTTTCAGCAAACATTTAAGAAATAAATAACATCACTCTATAAAACTCGTGCAGACAAGGAAAAAATGGGAACTTATTCCATCTCATTTTACGAAACCAGCACAAACATTATCAGAGAAGGAAAACTGTAAACCTATCTCACTCATGCAAGTAGATACAAAAACTCCAAACAAAATATTAATAAACTGGATGCAACAATAAATAAGAATAAAAATACATCACAACCAAGTGGTATTTATTCTGGGAGTATAAGATTGGGATAATAAAAAAGTTCAATGTAGCAACTTCTGCTTCCAGTCAAGGTAGAGTAGAGAAATTGAATTTATCCTCATCTTTGAAACAACCACAAACAAAAAAAGAGATCACTTTAGAGAAAACGAACAAAATAACCCTGGCTAGGCATTGTTCTGTGCACTGAAAGGTTGCCGGCTCAATTCCTGGTCAGAGCACAACACCCGTCGTCGTCGTCCCCCCCCCCCCCGGAGCAGGGAGGCAGCCTATTAGTGTTTAGCTCTCACAAATATGTTTCTTTCTTCCTCTCCGTCTCTCTCTAAAAATCAATTTTAAAAATCCTTAAAAAAGAAAAACAAAGGAACCCACAGACACTTCACAAAAGAAGATATCCAAATCCCTCTCTCTCTCTCTCTCTCTCTCTCTCACTCACACACACACACACACACACACACACACACACACACTCAACATCCTTAGGAACTGCAAGTTCAAACCGGAATGAGATATCTCCATGTTCCTACCAGAATGACTAAAATAAAGGTGAGGGAAAAGAGAAGAAAGGAGTATGTGAAAATTGTTATAATATGTAGAAAAATCTTTCAGGATTTCCTTCATGGTTATGAACTATAATTCTTGATTTTTAGTAGAATCCCTGTGTTTATTTTCTTGTTTTGTTCATCTAAATTTTCTAATTTATGTTTCAAAAAAACACCTATAGTTCCTATAATAAAAATGTTTTCATTTTATTAAAATACAAAAAGAAAGGCATAATAACATTCTTGGTGTGTAACATATTTTGAGAATAATTTTAAAAAGCTTAAAATATGAATTACTGATTAACTTACATTTTTATATCAAATATACCTTGCAAAAAATGTTTTATGTCAATGGTTTTCTATTATAATTTTATGGTTTGAAATGTTAAAAAAAAAAAAACTACATGAGCACATGCAAACATAAAATTAATCTGTTAGCACATACAGAATTGGAATGGTCAAATACTCAACAATGAAGCATTAGTATGTAAGTACTTAAAACCAAAATATCTGCCACTATGGTCTGGTGATAAAATATACAAATAAGTCTATTAGACAAAAACATCTCAATGAACCTTAAAAAGCATGAAGATCATGATGAGTTTCAAGCACTAACTGCAAGAACATTTGTCAAACTCCAAATGTTAGGTGACAACTTAGCAATCAGGGATGGCACTTAATGTAAGCAAGCAGCATGAATGAACATATATTTTAAGGTTTTAGGTGACATTCAGCTTTGCTACAAAAGGGAAGGATTCCCCCCATTACAGAGGCATTGATACACTGCCCTCTGTACCTGGCACATCCTGAGGGAGCTCAGATGCCACCTTCTTCTCTGCCATGTTGCTGCTATCATGGGTTTCTGAGAGACACCCCACAGGACTCCTCCCTTCAGAGGGACTAGTCTCTTCTGAAGCATTTGCTGTGTTGTCGCCAAGATTTGCTGACTCAGAGTTACCTTTATCCCCAACTTCTGTTGGCTCTATAGTAAAATGCACAACAAAACTTTAAAGATATCCTTGAAAATTGCTTTAGGACATATGGCCAAATTCAATCAACTACGAAAAATGAAATATCACAGAAAAACCTGCTTTAATTTGATGGCCATTTTGAAGCAATTAGATTCTGGGCTATTTTTGCATAGGTAATCCAAAGAGTATTTAAGAATATTTAACATGTTAAGAATGTTTAAGTAATTAATATGAAAGTGAACAGATTTGATCACATACAAAAATGTAAAGTCTGGTATTAAAATAATGATTTTTCACCAACAAATCTCACAAGGAAAGGCACCTTATTAAAAAGTATAAACAGAGATATGAGTATAACATTATAGCAAATCAACCAATATATAAAACTCACTACAATGATTATGTATGTTACAAGGGGTAAGGATATCCTAACCTGTTAGAAATATAAAATTAAATAGTTGCTTGTATAAAAATGATTTGTTTTCATTTTGCAAGTAAAACTGCAGACTTCATAAGTAACACTGATGAAATATTTTTTTTTAACCAAGTAATTTTTTTACCCTCAGATTTTCCTTGTTCAGCATCATCTTCTGGTGTTTTGTCATCATTGTCTTTTTCAAGCGATCGGTCTTCAAACTCATCTCTGCTTTTCTCGGCATCTTTAGAGTTATTCTCAGTCTCATTGTTGTCCTTTTCTATTTCTTCTGGGCTTTTAACAATATCAATCTCACCCTTTTTTGCTCTTATGGATTCCAAAATTTCTTCTATAATAAAAACAAATATAAAACTTTGTTTCCATATACACCAAATATAAAAGTACTACAAATGCCACTTAAGAGTTTCAATTCAAGTTATTAAAGTAAAGTATTTTAAAAACATTAGAACCATGAAATAAGGATCAAGGGTATTAATAAAATTTTGATGTTTAGAGAATTCAACCAATTTGGTTATCTTCACTTCTAGAAAATACATGCTAATATAGGTCTGACTTTCTATTTTTAAAAAATGAAAATTAGTCTACTTTTTGAAATTGAGATCTGATTATAGAGTGCTATCATATTCTCTGCCATATGAGAAAAACTGTAAGCTGACATAACACAAAGTCTGGGCAACATGGTACAGTGATCAACACCTAGAGAACCATGGCCTACTGCAGATCTGACTTAAATTAGCTGTGTGACCATGGGCAAGCTACTTAACCTCCATTATAAAATCAGAAAACAGAGGCCCAATTGGAAACATTTCTCCCTGAAGTCCCATAACTGTTCTGGAAATAAAAATAAAAATCATTAAACCCCTACTCCTCTTTCAACTTGGGCAGTAGTACTATGGCACAGTACAGACAAGGTATATCAGCACTGATTTCAGGATATTCATAATACTCCTTGGATTATAATCCAATACTACCACTTTTATTTCATTGTTCAAATTGTTCGACCTTTCGCCATTGGGAGTCCTATGTCCTTTAAACACAACTTCACTCACTAGTTCATTCATTTGTTCACTTCCTTACTTTCCAGCACTGTAAGATGCTCCAAGCTCACCTTTTATTTCCCTTGCCCCAGCCCTAGAAATCCGCCATCACTAGGTATACTTGTTAAAGAATTAGAAAATATACAATTACTAACCCATACACAGGGTAAGGCAAAAGTAGGCTTACAGTTGAGAGTATACAAAACATAACAGTTTATTCTTGTATTATTATTTGTTTCCATACAAACAACTGTAAACCTACTTTTGCCCCATCGTGTGTGTGTGTGTGTGTGTGTGTGTGTGTTTAACTGTAACTATCTGCATGTGTGGTTCCCACAATCATTGCCCTATTGCTTCTTTTTAACATCTTTCTCTGAGTAGAGAAACATGGCTCATATTATCTACAATATATCTATTTGGACAATACTAGTATACATAGTAAAGTAGTTTCAGATTGATAAACTGTATATTTCCATAAGAAATAAATTTACCAACTAGAGTACAATGTTTGTAAATAAGAAGAAACAATTTAATTCCATGAACCCATGGTACGTCTTTTTGAATTTTTATTTCTTTTGTTTATAGTTCCTTTAAGTGTTCTCTACCTTCATTTTTCTCAATATTTATTAAAATGTAGGTATTCGGAATATTTCTCTCTCTTCCTTTTCTTTCTTCTCTCTCTAAAAATCAATGAATTACTCTTTAAAAACAACACTCCCAGAAAGGTTTAGTAAGATAGTTGAATTAGCCCAAGTGGTGTGGCTTGGTGGACTGAGCATCATCCCATGGACTGAGAGGTCCCAGTTCAATTCCCAGTCAGGGCACATGCCCAGGTTGCAGGCTCAATCCACACCGGGGGGTGTGCAGGAGGCAGCCGATTGGTATTTCTCTCTCTCTCTCTCTAAAAAAATCAATAAAACATATTTAAAATAAATAAATAGCTATATAGGTTAAAAAAAAAAGATAGTTGAGCCCTGGCCAGTTTGGCTCAGCGGTTAGAGCGTCGGCCTGCGGTCTGGAGAGACCCGGGTTCGGTTCCCGCTAAAGGCACGTACTTCGGTTGCAGTTTGTCCCCGGCCCTGGTTGGTCGTGCGGGTGGCAGCCACTCGATGTGTCCCTTCACATCGATGTTTCTCTCTCTCTCTCCCTTCCTCTCTCTCCCTCCCTTCCTCTCTCTCCCTCCCACTCTATCTGTACAAAAAATGGAAAAATATCCTCGGGTGAGGATAAAAAAAAAAAAAGATAGTTGAATTAAAGAAGCAAACAAAGCCCAGTTGAATTAAAGAAGCAAACAAAGCCTGACCGGTGTGGCTCAGTGATTGAGCACCGACCTGTGCACCAAGAGGTCGCTGGTTCAATTCCCAGTCAGGGCACATGCCCAGGTTGTAGGCCCAATCCCCAGTGGGGGGCATGCAAGAGGCGGCCAATCCATGTTCTCTCTCATCAAGGATTCTCTCTTTCTCTCCCTCTCCTTTCCCCTCTCTCTAAAAATCAATAAAGAAAAAAAATTTAAAGAAGCAAACAAATAATTTGGGGAATATTAGTAAGGACCAGGGCAAGATACAAAATTCTATAAAGGGTATATATCATCCCTAATTTATGTTGGGATGAAAAAGATTCTCCCAGGAAAATGAAATACAGAAAATTCAAGTAAAATATACACTTGAAAATTTTAATACATTTTGAAACTTTGTAGTGATTCATTCCAAGAGTTTATTTAGCATTTAACAAAAAGTAAAATGAAAATATTTCTCTCTCACCATTAGCTGCCGCCAGAAAGGATTTATTACTACCCCTAGCCTTGTTGGTCAAGTCTTCAGTTATGTCCATATGACGGTGGATTTCTTCACGCATTTCTTCCAGAATTTTGCAGAGTTCTGCTTCCCAGTAATCTTTGTCTAGACAGTCAATTAATTCTGCAAGCTGGACTTTTGTACTGTAGTACCAAATTTTCTTTTCATTTTCATTTTCTGTATCTTCTTCTCTATTTAGAAAACGTACAGAAACATTTCCTATGTTAGACACAATGATATTTATCTGACAACTTCACCTATTCAGTGAAAGTTAAATATGTAACACAAAATTTGTGCACTAAAGCTCAATAGCTCTGCTCACAAGAGATCTCCTCAAGTCACATTCAAACTCAAGTTTTTCTTATTTTATTTGAGAAACCTCTAATTATTTTTATTTCCTAGCCCACAGCAGCTTAGGACAAAATAATTCATTAGTGGTAGTGGAGAGAATAATTAGTGCAGGCAGCAAAGAAGGATATATTTTAAAACATGACACAGAGAAACAGGACCTCAAAATTCAGAACGCGTGAATACTTGGTGGAGAAGTCTTAAGTTACACTTCGATCAACTTTAAGATTAAGATCATCACTGTAACAATATGATGAGCAAAATTTTAACCAAAAATATTTAAACTCTGTACATGGCAGTTACACAGCAAGTCTGCATTACAATATAATTTAGAAGTATTTCCATCAAAATGGTATAAATGGTCTGCTAAATTCTGGTTCTTGAAGAAACCGTCCAAATGGAGTAATAGTATCTCATCCCTCCTCCTTTTTCACACACAAAGCTCAAACTGAAGAAAAGAAAAGCAGTTTCCTTTCCTGCTTAAATCTCTCCCAAAGTACCATTTCACTTGTAACAAAGGTAGAGACTTCAACAGGGACAGTCACTAACTAAAAACAGGCAAATTAATGTCTAAGACCAGACTTAGAGAAACATATGTGATGGTATTTCTTCCCTTATTCAAAAGGTATTCAGGAATGCATGTCAGTTACTTGATGAGAAAGAATCTAACCTTCCTGTCTACTCAAAGGCAAACTCATGGAGTTAAAGAAACTGGGCTTTTAAGAGAGATATGGCTTGCCCTGGCCGGTTTGGCTCAGCGGTTGGAGTGTCGGCCTGCGGTACAGAGAGACCAGGGTTCGGTTCCCACTAAGGGCATGTACCTCGGTTGCAGTTTGTCCCCGGCCCCACTTGGGGTTGTGCGGGAGGCAGCCACTCGATGTGTCCCTTTCACATCGATGTTTCTCTCTCTCTCTCACTTCCCCTCTCTCCCTGCCACTCTATCTGAACAAAAATGCAAAGGTGTACTCAGGTGAGGGGGGAAAAAAAGATGTAATCTCTCAGTCACACTAACGTCAAACTTTGTCTTTTTAATATAGGCCAAAGCAAACCCGGCCAGTGTGGCTCAGTGGATTGAGCGTCGTCACATGGACTGAGAGGTCCCAGTTCAATTCCCAGTCTGGGCACATGCCCAGGTTGTGGGCTTGATCCCCAGTAGGGGGCATGCAGGAGGCAACCAATAGATGTTTCTCTCTCACATCAATGTTTCTTTTTTTTTTTTTTTTTTTTGTCCTCACCCAAGGATATTTTTCCATTTTTTGTACAGACAGAGTGGGAGGGAGGGAGAGGAAGGGAGAGAGAGAGAGAGAAACATCGACATGAAGGGACACATCGAGTGGCTGCCACCCGCATGACCAACCAGGGCCGGGGACAAACTGCAAAGGAGATACGTGCCCTTAGCGGGAACCGAACCCGGGTCTCTCTGGACCGCAGGGCAATGCTCTAACCGCTGAGCAAAACTGGCCAGGGCACAATCTTAATTATCATATTAACAGTGAAGTCACTACTTCATACGGCAGTCTGTTTTAAACTTGAATTGCTCGCCCTGGCCAGTTTGGCTCAGCGGTTAGAGTGTCGGCCTGCGGTCCGGAGAGACCCGGGTTCGGTTCCCGCTAAGGGCACGTACTTCGGTTGCAGTTTGTCCCCGGCCCTGGTTGGTCGTGCGGGTGGCAGCCACTCGATGTGTCCCTTCACGTCGATGTTTCTCTCTCTCTCTCTCTCCCTTCCTCTCTCTCCCTCCCACTCTATCTGTACAAAAAAAAAAAATAAATAAATAAATAAACTTGAATTGCTCTTTTAGAACATTTTCTTTTTAATGAAATGATGCAAACGTAATAGATCCACCAATTAGTTGTGGTTCTTCCTGCAAGAGGTTATGTAAAATAAAGCTAACAGGTCCTACACACACACACACACACACACACACACACAGTCTTTCAAATCTTTTTCATTTATAATTTTACTGTTTTTTTTTTCCTTCTGGCCAAATATTTTATGCTCAAATATTTTCATCATTCCTTATACAATATGTAAATGAAAGTAACTGAAAGGCTTTTCAACTTGGGGGAAGGAGACATGATTGAAATTGCTGTTTTAAAATCATCTAGCTATAGCCCTGGCCAGTTTGGCTCAGCAGTTAGAGTGTCAGCCTGCGGTCCAGAGAGACCCGGGTTCAGTTTCCGCTAGGGGTGCGTACCTCGGTTGCAGTTTGTCCCCAGCCCTGGTTGGGTCATATGGGTGGCAACCACTCAATGTGTCCCTTTCACGTCGATGTTTCTCTCTCTCTCTCTCCCGCTCCCACTCTATCTGAACAAAATATCAAAAAATGTCCTCAGGTGAGGATAAAAATAATAATAATAATAATAATCATTCCTTATACAATATGTTTTCCAGAGTCTTCATTACCCTATTCTTCCCCTAAAGGTACAGTTTGTCAACTTCTCTCTAAATATGTGGCATGCAAGAACTATTTTTTTATTCTGCTCATCAAAGATCATACTTAACACTGACAATCTTTCTTCTTGAAGCTACATGTAGGACAAATTCTTTAAAAGCATAAAGTAGTGCCTGGCCGGTTTGGCTCAGCGGTTGGAGCACTGGCCTGTGGACCAGAGAGGCTCAAGTTCGGTTCCCACTAAGGGCACATACCTCAGTTGCAGTATGTACCCGGCCCCAGTTGGGGTCGTGTGGTTGGTGACCAGTCGATGTGTCTCTCTCACATGGATGTTTCTCTCTCTCTCTCTCTTCCTCCCTCTCTATCTCAAGATAAAAATGCAAAAATGTCCTCAGGTGAGGATATTAAAAAAAAAAAAAAAGCATAAAGTTGTTTTATTACTTATGCATGTGGGCACACTTACACAGTTTATATGATCAAAATTATTTGTTCTAATTATAAAATGACAACAGCAGCTTTCCTATATAAATATATACTGATTTATACATATATTTGGTTTGGAGATTAGAATGTGGTTTCTACAGAAGCTCTGTCTCTACAATGTTCCTTTTGCACACCCAAAATGGCCTGGCTTCCCTACAGACGCTAATCAGTTCAAGAAGCTCACACGATGGCAGAAAAGGATGGGTGGGATGAAAACCTTTGCCAAAAAATATACTTATAACCTTGGCCAGTTTTGCTCAGCGGTTAGAGCATCGACCTGCAGACTAGAGTCCCGGGTTCGATTCTGGCCAAGGGCATGTACCTTGGTTGCGGTTCGACCCCGGCCCTGGTTGGAGTCATGCAGGTGGCAACCAATCAATGTGTCTCTCTTATAACGACGTTCTCACCCTCCCTCCCACTCTGTCTGAAGATAAATGTAAAAATATCCTCAGGTGAGAATTTAAAAAATAAATAAATAAATAAAATAAAAATGCTGTTGGGAGGGTTGAGCTGAAATATGTAAAGTGCTGGGAACACACCTTACAGGTACAATAAACAGAGTTGCTATTATTTTCCTCGTCTTTTGAAGTATGTATTATCTCCTTAAGACAAATATCTACAAGTGAGGTGGCTATTAAAAAAAGAGAAGACGTGTTTCAGGGTACAAAAAGAACAGAGGTTCAGAGAGAAAGCTCTAGGAAATAGCATCAATAGGCTGAGATTTGAAGAGTAAGTTAACCAAAAGGTTTTTGGGTGTTTTGATTTGCTTTTATTTATTTATTTTTAGGTGGTGGGAAGCAAAATTAAATGTACAAGTTAGGGACCTGTGAGCTTTCCATTAAGAGTAAATGAAAGTAACTGAAACGCTTTTCAACTTTGGGAGAAGGAGATATGATTGGAATTGCTGTTTTAAAAATCATCTAGCTAGAGCCCAGTGGTTGGAGCGTCGGCCTGCGGTCCAGAGAGACCCGGGTTCAGTTTCCACTAGGGGCATGTGCTTCAGTTGCAGTTTGTCCCCAGCCTTGGTTGATCATGCAGGTGGCAGCCACTCAATGTGTCCCTTTCACATCGATGTTTCTCTCTCTCTTCCTCTCTCTCTCTCCCACTCTATCTGAAAAAAAAATGGAAAAATGTCCTTGGGTGATAAAAAAAATCATCCAGCTATGAAATAGTGAATAGAATTGGGAATGGGGAGTTATATATATACCAGTCTGGAGGAGTCTAAACTAGTCTAATTGAGATGATGATGGCTTGTATTACGGTAGGGACACTGAGAATGAAGAAAAACTGATCCAATATTTAAGAGGTAATTAAAGGGCATAACAAACAATATAGGACAAAAGACTATTCTCAGGTTTCTAGCTTGAGCAGTTGTTAGGATGGTGACCTCATTTACTAAGATAGGAATACTGAATGAAGAGTAGGTAATGGGAGGGGGGGTGATGAGTTCCATTTAGACAAGTTATGCTGAGGGGCCTGTGTAATCATGTCCAGGAGGCTACTAGATAAAACAGAACTGTACATGGGCAGAAGGGTAATAGATGTAGGTTTGATGGCAACTAAGCCAACAAGTAGGTAGCTTTCAGCTAGAATGGGATGATACAGGTAGAAAGTTATGTAGGTTAAAAAGCATAATTTAATTTGGTAAATGAAAAAATACATAATTTTTCTTTTCTTTTTTTAATCCTCACCAGAGGATTTTTTTTCAAATACCTTCAGACAGAGTGGGAGGGGGAGAGAGAGAGAAAGAATAGAGAAAGATCGATGTGAAAGAGACACATCAATTAGCTGCCTCCCGCACAATCCTGACCAGGGCGGGGGATGAACCGCAACCAAGGTACATGCCCTTGGCTGAAATCAAACCCGGTGGCCGAAATCAAAACCGTGACTCTTTGGTTGGTGCGCTGACACTCTAACCGCTGAGCCAAATCAGCCAGGGCAAAATACAGAGTTGTTAAATGCTGTGTT